GGAGGTGTCTCACCAGAAACACTCTCATATATTACTGCCCCAGGGAGGTCTAAAGGAAGCTGCTGGCTATGGAGTGGTGCTGGCCACACTGCCCTGCACCAGCCGGGCCCTGGAGAAGCCACGTGAGGTGCAGAGGCTGGCGCTGGAGAAGCCTGGTGTCCAGCGGAAGCCAGCTGTGCCAGCAATCCAGGACCAGGAAGCAAAACTCTAGCTTTTCACTGTCTCTGGCTCCCTCTAGTGGTAAACTTCAGTAACAACTGCCACAAGAAAAAAATGGAAAGAACCCAGAACATTTTCATGGAAGCAGGACAAAAAGGTGAATTTGGAGCTTACCGGCAATAGAACCATCGTATTTTATTGACAGATTAAAAGAGGAAAGTAATACAATTATCCCAATGAATGCGGACAACACATGGGATGAAATGCAACAACTATTCATAAAGAAAAATTTGCAAGTATGTTAAGAAGGTTACACACCAGAAATCTATAGCATACGTTATTCCTATATGAAAAAGTGGAAGTATCCTATGTAAGATCAAAAACAAGACAAGGATGCCAGCCATCACACCTTCTATTCAACACTGTAGCAGCTCCTGTAGGAGACCTCTCAGTGCTCTCATGCCCACTGATTAAAGTCAACGGAAACTACACCATCCTAATTCATTCAGGACTCCTAATGGCCATGAATCTCAGTAGTGAAACGCTGGGTCACCCCATCAAGAAAAGGGCAATCACCAGGGAAAGGGCTTGTGAGGGTAAAAAAATGTGGGATGGATAGTAGAAGTAACCACATAACCATATGCATAAACAAGGACTGTGGGCTTCCCTGGTGGCGCAGTGGTTGAGAGTCCGCCTGCCGATGCAGGGGACACGGGTTTGTGTCCTGGTCCGGGAAGATCCACCATGCCGCGGAGCGGCTGGACCTGTGAGCCATGGCCGCTGAGCCTGCGCGTCCGGAGCCTGTGCAACAGTGAGAGGCCCGCGTACCGCAAAAAAACAAAAAACAAAAAACAAAACAAAACAAAAAAACATAAACAAGGACTGTAATGATTGTGAGTATTACTTCTTTGTTTTTGTATGAATTGATTCACATATATATTAACCAAATAATTTTGACTTTGACAGCCTCTCATCTCATCTTCTAACACAAGATGTATTATTAGTTAATTTTATTTTTCAGTATTTAAGATATAGGATATTAAACTGAAGTGTGAATCAGGTAGAAGAATGAACAAGACTTAAGATAGGACTTTGTGCCTTCTTTCAGAGAAAGGTTAGTGTTTTCTTGGTTGTGGGAGAGATGCATCAGGTTAGACAGAATCATGATTTTGTTATTGCCTCTATTTAGAGATTAAGTATGGTCTTTTCCTTCTCTTGTGTTTCCTGCCTAGAGAAGTTCCTTTAGCATTTGTTGTAAAGCTGGTTTGGTGGTGCTGAATTCTCTTAGCTTTTGCTTGTCTGGAAATGTTTTAATTTGTCCGTCGAATCTGAACAAGATCCTTGCTGGGTAGAGTAATCTTGGTTGTAGGTTTTTCCCTTTCATCACTTTAAATATGTCCTGCCACTCCCTTCTGGCTTGTAGAGTTTCTGCTGAGAGATCAGCTGTTAACCTTATGGGGATTCCCTTGTGTGTTATTTGTTGTTTTTCCCTTGCTGCTTTTAATATGCTTTCTGTGTATTTAGTTTTTGACAGTTTGATTAATATGTGTCTTGGCGTATTTCTCCTTGAATTTATCCTGTATGGGACTCTCTGTGCTTCCTGGACTTGATTAACGATTTCCTTTCCCATATTAGGGAAGTTTTCAACTATAATCTCTTCAAATATTTTCTCAGTCCCTTTTTTTTCTCTTCTTCTTCTGGAGCCCCTATAATTCAAATGTTGGTGCATTTAGGGGCTTCCCTGGTGGTGCAGCAGTTAAGAATCCGCCTGCCAATGCAGAGGACACGGGTTCAAGCCCTGGTCTGGGAAGATCCCACATGCCACAGAGCAACTAAGCCTGTGCACCACAACTACTGAGCCTGCTCTCTAGAGCCCGCAAGCCACAACTACTGAGCCCACATGCCACAACTACTGAAGCCCGCACACCTAGAGTCTGTGCTCCACAGCAAGAGAAGCCACCGCAATGAGAAGCCCGCACACCGCGATGGAGAGTAGACCCCACTCGCCGCAACTAGAGAAAGCTCACGTGCAGCAACGAAGACCCAACACAGACAAAAATAAACAAATAAATAATAAATTTATTTTTTAAAAAAGTTGGTGCATTTAATGTTGTCCCAGAGGTCTCTGAGACTGTCTTCAATTCTTTTCATTCTTTTTTCTTTATTCTGCTCTCTGGTAGTTATTTCCACTATTTTATCTTCCAGGTCACTTATCCGTTCTGCCTCAGTTATTCTGCTATTGATTCCTTCTACAGAATTTTTAATTTCATTTATTGTATTGTTCATCATTGTTTGTTTGCTCTTTAGTTCTCCAAGGTCCTTGTTAAACGTTTCTTCTATTTTCTCCATTCTATTTCCAAGATTTTGGATCATCTTTACTATCATTACTCTGAATTCTTTTTCAGGTAGACTGACTATTTCCTCTTCATTTGTTAGGTCTGGTGGGTTTTTATCTTGCTCCTTCATCTGCTGTGTGTTTCTCTGTCTTCTCATTTTGCTTAAGTTACTGTGTTTGGCGTCTCCTTTTCGCTGGCTGCAGGTTCGTAGTTCCCGTTGCTTTTGGTGTCTGTCCCCAGTGGCTAAGGTTGGTTCAGTGGGTTGTGTAGGCTTCCTGGTGGAGGGGACTGGTGCCTGTGTTCTGCTGGATGAGGCTGGATCCTGTCTTTCTGGTGGGCAGGACCGCATCTTATGGTGTTTGATATTACGTGGAGCTGGGAGGTCTCTGGTGGACCAGTGTCCTGAACTCGGCTCTCCCACCTCAGAGGCACAGGCCTGACACCCGGCCAGAGGAAAAAGACCCTGTCAGCCACACAGCTCAGAAGAAAAGGGAGGAAAAAAAAGAAAGGAAGAAAAAATAAAATAAAATAAAATAAAAGTTATTAAAGTAAAAAATAAAAATATTATTAAAAATTAAAAAGTAATAAAATTTAAAAAAAGAAAGAAGAGAGCAAGCAAACCAAAAAACAAGTCCACCAATGATAACAAGCACTAAAAACTATACTAAAAACAAACAAACAAACAAAATGGACAGAACCCTAGGACAAATGGTGGAAGCAAAGCTATACAGACAAAATCTCACACAGAAGCATACACATACACACTCACAAAAAGAGGAAAAGGGGAAAAAATCATAAATCTTGCTCTCAAATTCCACCTCCTCAATTTGGGATGATTCGTTGTCTGTTCATGTATCCCACAGATGCAGGGTACATCATGTTGATTGTGGAGCTTTAATCAGCTGCTCCTGAGGCTGCTGGGGGGGATTTCCCTTTCTCTTCTCTGTTCACCCCGCTCCCAGGGCTCAGCTTTGGATTTGGCCCCGCCTCTGCGTGTAGGTCGCCGGTGGGCGTCTGTTCTTCGCTCAGACAGGACGGGGTTAAAGGAGCCGCTGATTCGGGGGCTCTGGCTCACTCAGGCCGGGTGTAGGGAGGGGTACAGGTGGGGGGCGAGCCTGCGGCGGCAGAGGCCGGCATGACGTTGCACCAGCCTGAGGCGCACCGTGCGTTCTCCCAGGGAAGTTGTTGTCCCTGGATCCCGGGACCCTGGCATTGCGGGCTGCACAGGCTCCCGGGAGGGGCCGTGTGGATGGTGACCTGTGCTCACAAACAGGCTTCTTGGTGGCGGCAGCAGCAGCTTTAGCATCTCATGCCCGTCTCTGGGGTCCGTGCTGATAGCCATGGCTCGCGCCTGTCTCTGGAGCTCGTTTAGACAGTGCTCTGAATCCCCTCTCCTCACGCACCTCTGTAGCTTTATTTTTTAATTAATTTTTATTGGAATATAGTTGATTTACAATGTTGTGTTAGTTTCTGCTGTACAGCAAAGTGAATCAGTTATACATATGCATATATCCACTCCTTTTTAGATTCTATTCCCATATACGTCATTACAGAGTACTGAGTAGAGTTCCCTGTGCTATACAGTAGGTCCTTATTACTTACCTATTTTATATATAGTCGTATGGGTATGTCAATCCCAATCTCCCAATTTATCCCTTCCCCGCTTTTCCCCTGGTAACCATAAGTTTGTTTTCTACATCTGTGACTCTATTTCTGTTTTGTAAATAGGTTAATTTGTACCTTATTTTAGATTCCACATATAAACAATATCATATGATATTTGTCTTTCTCTGTCTGACTTACTTCACTCAGTGTGACAATATCTAAGTACATCCATGTTGCTGCAAATGGCATTATTTCATTCATTTTATGGCTGAGTAATATTCCATTGTATATATGTACCACATCTTCTTTATCCATTCCTCTGTCAATGGACATTTAGGTTGCACTGTAGCTTTACAGTAAGTATCGAACTCAGGTAGCATCAGTCCTCCAACTTTGTTCTTTTCCTTCAATACTGTTTGCTTCACCATATAAACGTTAGAATCAGTTTATCTATATCCACAAGAGGACTTGCTGGGATCTGGAATGGGATTGCAGTGAATCTATAGATCAAGTTGGGAAGAACTGACGTCTTGACAACCAAAAGTTGGAGTTTTTAATTCTCAGACTTGTCCACACTGAGCACCTAGCAATTTGTCAGTTATAGTTCAGGTTTTCCTACCCTGGCACTGGTTCTCACAGCGGTTTTCAGTCATGAATCTCTGCTCCAGTAAGCCATGACTCCCTGTTATTTGTCTGTCTGTCTTACCAATATTGGAGGTTTGCCCGATGTCCTCCCACTCTTACACATCCAGTCTGTTCAGTCTTCTACTTGTTGGGACAGAGTGGTGGCTTCCAAGATCTTTACATGAGGAACCAGAAACCAGAAGTCAGTGATTTTAAAAAAAAACCCAAAACAACCCACTATTACATCTTATAATTTTGTATGTCAGGAATTCGGGCATGGCTGAGATTGGCAATCACTCTGCTCCATATGGCATCAAGTGGTGTCAGATGGCAGCTGGGCTGCTCTGGAGCATTTTGTTGCTGTAAATTGTACATAAAATTCACCATTTTATTTTTTTGGCCACGCCACGTGGCTTGTGGGATCTTAGTTCCCCGACTAGGGATCGAACCCAGGCCCCTGGCAGTGGAAGCGTGGACTCCTAACTACTGGACTGCCAGGGAATTCCGTAAAATTTACCATTTTAAAATATACAACTCAATGGCATAAAGTACCTTCACACAACGTTGTGCAGCCATCACAGAACTATCTGGTTCTAAAACAGTTCTATGATCCTAAAAGGAAACGCCATCAGCAGTCATTCCCATTTCCCCTTTCCCCAGGCCCTCACAATCAGTTATCTACTTTCAATCTCTATGGATTTGCCGGTTCTTGATACTTTATATAAATGGTATCATACAATATGTGCTCTGTTTCCTCTGGCTTCTTTCACTTAGCATACTGCTTTCAATGTTCATCCATGCTGTACCATGCATCAGTACTCCATTCCAATTTCTCTGCATCCTCCGCACTTGTTCTTTCTCTTTTTGATTATTACCATCCTAGTAGGTGTGAAATGGTATCTCATTGTGCTTTTGATTTGCATTTCCCTAATGACTAATGGTGCTGAGCATCTTTCCATGTGCTTGTTGGCCATGTGTATATGTTCTTTGGAGAAATGTCTTTTCAAATTTTTTGCCTATTTCTTCCTTATCTTTATGTTGTTGAGTTGAAAGAATTCTATTTACATAATGGACACTAGACCCTTATCAGATATGTGCTTTGCAAATATTTCCCCCTATCCTATGGGCTGCCCTGTCACACTCTCTTGATTGAGTCCTTTGACGCACGAGAGCTTTGAATTTTAATGAAGTCAAATTATCTATATTTTTCTTTTGTTGCTTGTGTGTTTGGTGTCTTATTTAAGAAACCATTGCCAAATCCAAGGTCAAAAACTATTACTCCAAAGTTTCCTTCTTAGAATTTTGTGGTTTTAACTCTTACAGGTAGGTACTGATTCATTTTAATTAATTTTGGTATATGGTATGAGGTGAGGGTCCAACTTCTGTTACTGATTTCTGGTTTGACTCCATTATGGCAAAGAAGATTTGTTGTATGATTTCAATGTTATAAAATTTATTGAGACTTGTTTTGTGGCTTAATATATGGTTAACCCTGGAGAATACTCCATGAGTACCTGAGAAGAATATGTACTTTGCTGTTGTGGTGTGGGGTGTTGTATAGGTGTCTATTAGACCTAATTGGTTTATAGTGCTGTTCAAGGCCTCTATTTCCTTACTGATCTCCTTTTTTATTAAATATAATTTTATGTATTTATTTATGTTTGGCTGCATTGGGTGTTCGTTGCTGCGCGTGGGCTTTCTCTACTTGTGGTGAGCGGGGGCTACTCTTCATTGCGGTGAGCGGGCGTCTCTTGTGGTGGCTTCTCTTGTTGCGGAGCACGGGCTCTAGGCACACGGGCTTCAGTAGTTGTGGCATGCGGGCTCAGTAGTTGTGGCCCGTGGGCTCTACAGCACAGGTTCAGTAGCTGTGGCACACGGGCTTAGTTGCTCCGAGGCATGTGGGATCTTCCCGGACCAGGGCTCAGACCCATGTCCCCTGCATTGGCAGGCGGATTCTTAACCACTGCGCCACCAGGGAAGCCCCTCCTTACTGACGTTCTAACTAGTTGTTCTAGTCATTTATTGTGCTGACCCTAAAGATTAGCCAGAGGAGAAATCTTATGGCCTTCCCCAGTCTTTTCTGACTGAGTGCTGACCTGGGCATGCACATGGTTTTCTAGATACCCAGATATACATGGGAGCATTTCAAAGCCCTTCTTTCCCAAAGTGTCTCACTCCTCAGTTTTTCTTTCCAGAATTCTGGCATGTCTGTTGTTTGCCGTAAGCGTGGGCAGCTTATTCACTTGCCTTTCAATGTTTCTGAGGAACGTCCTTCACATAGCTTGCGTCTCCCCTCTAAAAGAGCCCAGAGCTGAGGCAACAGAAAGGCAGGGGGTCGCCTCGCGCCATGGCATTTCATAGGTAAAGGACAGAAATCATGACACCAAGTGAGACTTGCTGCTTTTCAGCTTGTAAAGCACAAGCTGCAGCTAAACCCTCAGCACCAGGGACCTGAGCCTCTTTATTAGTTGTACTGTCTTACTTGGTTTCCATATGTGTTCATGGTGCCATGAGGAGAAGAAAGTGCGTTTGTCGTATTACCTTCCTGAGCTCAATTTGAGGGGTCTCAGGCTCCATCTGGTACATCCTCTTGCTTTATGAAACCATTTCCTCAAAACTGAGGAGCACCGGGCGGTCCCTGTGGGGTTGCCATAATGCACCTGCGTCACAGCTCCACTTGTTAATTTGGTTTCCAGATGTTACTGTCACTCACGATGTTCACGAGAAGATGGAACATGGTCAAATCTCACCCGATGGCTTCTTGTCAAACTCTGCTGCCCCAGAGCTTATGAATATGGCAGGAGATGGTATCCCGCCCGACCAAGTGGATTCCCTGTCTGATGATTTCACTAGTCTCAGGAAAGATGACCTGATGCACAGTCCTGGTAGTAATGCACTCGTAGGAGGAACCAAGAACTGCAGTGTCTCTGTAGATGATCGAAAAGTCTCGGTAACGTCTGCTTTGGAAACTGGGCCAAATACGTCGCAAATAACTCCTGCTATGGCACAAGGAATCAATGCTGATATAAAACACCAGTTAATGAAGGAAGTTCGAAAATTTGGACGAAGTGAGTAGTGAAAGAACATCTATCAGTAATATAATGGAGGTCCCTTTCCGTTTATGTTTCAGAATAGATTCAAGGTATCTCTTGAGGTGCATTTTTGGGAAGTACTGGGTTTTCACATAATCTAAAATGACTCCTCTGGCTTTACCTAAAAGAGACCCAATACACCTTTCTCTCTCTCTTTCCCCTTACTTACTGTAATAGTTTCCTTTTGCTGCGATAACAACAAGTTATCACAAACTTCGTGGCTCAAAACTGTATTACCTTAGAGTTGTGGAAGTCAGATCTGAAATGACTTTCGCTGGGCTGGCACGAAGGTGTTGGCGGGCCAGGGTTCCTTCTGCAGGCTCTAGGGAGAATCCGTGTCCTCGCCTCTTCCAGCTTCTATGGGCTGCCTGTGCTCCTTCGCTCGTGGGCCCTTCCTCCATCTTCAAGCCAGCAACTTAGCCCCTTCTCTCCTCTCTAACCTCTGCTCCCACCCTTACATCTTTTCTTTCCGACCAGCTCTACTGCCTCCCTTTTATAAGGATATTTGTGGTTACGTTGGGCAACATGTATGAACATGGATAATCTCCCCATCTCAAGAGCCGTAACTTAATCACATCTGCAAAGTAAAGTCTCTTCTTTTGCCATATAAGGTAACATGTTCGCAGGTTCTCAGAATTAGGACACGGACCACTTGGGGGACCATTATTCAGCAGACCACACTGAATTAGTGTTTAGAGTTTCCCTAGCAGATATGTGCAGTTGTCTTGATTTGAGTGTTTCAAATACGAACTATACCTAACTTTCCACACACAAGGAATGATTACTGATGATGTGCAAAGATTGAATTTTATTCTTCATCCGTATTTTTAAAAATACTAATTTTTTTTTTAATATCTGCAGAGTATGAAAGAATTTTCACTTTGCTTGAAGGAGTGCAAGGACCTCTTGCAGTGAGGAGGCAATTTATTGAATTTACCATCAAGGAAGCTGCAAGGTGGGTGTAAAGAGGAACTCTTGTGTTTTTCTTAAGCAGGAGGGCCGCCCCATGCAAGACAGGTGGAGGGATTGGTTCTGCCTTGCTGTTCTTTTTGTTTTAATTAATTAATAATTAATTAATCAATTAATTAATATTTGGCTCCATTGGATCTTCGTTGCTCCGCATGAGCTTTCCCTAGTTGCGGCGAGCACGGGCTACTCTTCGTTGCAGTGCGTGGGCTTCTCATTGTGGTGGCTTCTCTTGTTGTGGAGCACGGGCTCTAGGTGCACAGGCTTCAGTAGCTGTGGCACGCGGGCTCGGTAGTTGTGGCTCACGGGCTTAGTTGCTCTGCGGCACGTGGGATCTTTCCGGACCAGAGCTTGAACCCGTGTCCCCTGCATTGGCAGGAGGATTCTTGACCGCTGTGCCACCAGGGAAGTCCTGCCTTGCTTTCCTGAGCCCTGGCCCTCAGTCATAGTTACGGCTGTCTGCAGAGGCGTCTAGATTAATACTCCCTGAGGCCAACTCATTCATCCAGGTCTGTGGAGCCTTTTGCACTCCTCACAGCCTGAGGTGGGCTTGGGCTCTCAGCTGGTAATCTCGGTATTAGCTAAGCCCTATCTTGACAGGAACATACATTTTCTATTTCCCATGTGAATGGCCAGTCCCACGTTGTACCCCGCACGGTGCCTCACGCATCATAAATGCTTTAAGGACCTTTTGGATAATAAAATTTCTTTTCCTGTTTTAGGTTCAAAAGACGAGTCTTAATTCAGTACCTTGAGAAGGTACTAGAAAAAACAGAATGCCATCACCTTCTCAACAACGTTAATCACATCAACAGCAGATCATGATGTTAACGCAGAGACCGAGGAGGAGAAAAGAATAAGTGTTCCGTGCTGTAGGATAGAATGGGATATTGTTGATTATCCTGTGATGTTTCAGTCAAGGGCACTGCCTTCCAGCGGCTAAGAAAAAGCAGTGGAGCCTTTTGTTTTCAGATTCTCTGGCGGGAAAAGCTGGCTTTTGCCCTATGCGTTTTCTTTGAAAGTGTTAATTGGTTATTTTGTTGTTACTTTTCCCAGTTGAGGAAGGTGATGTTATTAATCCAGCAGGTTAGAATCAATGAACCCTGTCGCCCCTGCCACCTGTGATAAGGGTTCACTCTTGAACTGGGCCGTCCTGGGCATTTCCAGGGTGACTAGGGGCTACGTGCAGGTGGGGCACTACTTGGTGCTCTTACTATGTCCTTTAGAAAGAATAGGTGTTCAGAGGCCAACTGGTAATCTTGTGTGTGCTGAACAAATTTTTCAGCCATTCCTGGTTGTGCCTTTAAAACCATGCAATATTCAGGACAGTTTGGATCAAAGAGTAAGAAAGCTGCTACTTGGGTAAGTTATTTCTCCGTGGGAGAGGCAGGGGAAGTCACCAAACAATCTACCTCCAACTCTGTTCTATTTTGTCTAGAGACATTACAAAGTGCACCTGAGGCTGCCTCAACCCTGACATTTGTTCTCGCATGTAACGACAGGAAGTCTTCAGGTGGACTTGTGCATTCTGTGCTTCAGGAGCACTACAAGAAAAAATAATGCATATATTTCCTGTGACGTTTATACAGAGGTTTATATGGAGCAGTATTGTTATCTTTGTATTAATTTGCAAAAATTTAAGTGTACAAGGAGATTTTGACTTGCATATATAAAATAAATCATTTTATTGATTTTTCACAAGGTCCCTGATGCTAGAGAAATTTCTAGTGTTCTGTTTCTTCTGATTTGTTATTCCTTTCAGAAAAAGGGAAGTGCACACGGTTGTTTTTATTAATAGATTCATTTTATTTACTTCTTTATTTTTTGGCTGCGTTGGGTCCTCCGTTGCTGCACGCGGGCTTTCTGTAGTTGCTGCGAACAGGGGCTCCTCTTCCTTGCGGTGTGAGGGCTTCTCATGGCGGCGCCTTCTCTTGTTGTGGAGCGCAGGCTCCAGGAATGCAAGCTTCAGCAGTTATGGCACACGGGCTTCAGCAGCTGTGGCACACGGGCCTAGCTGCTCTGCGGCATGCGGGATCTTCCCGGGCCAGGGCTTGAACCCGTGTCCCCTACCTTGGCAGGCGGATTCCCAACCACTGTGCCACCGGGGAAGCCACCACACCGCTGAGTTAAGATGTTAGCAGAAGGATGTAAGCTTCAAAACGGCACTCACGGAACTTAGTGATACTGGTGAACATGGTGGTGTAGGGCGCTCTGGGTAGGGTCCTCCAGGGACACTGGGAAACACCGGGAAAACAATGGTCGGAATCCAGTTTACTGGAACTCTGGAAGATCATCAGAGGTTCACAGCAGCCAAGCAGACGTTAAGTCTGAAGAAGAGCCATGAAATGTGACGGGAGGATTTGCTGGCATTTTAAGTTACTCTCGCCCCAGGCCTTCCCTAGTAGAGCAGCGGCCCTGAAGGTGTCAGCCTGCATCGCAGGTGAGGGCTCCTGGCTCCGGAGGGAGGAGAGTGGGCCTTACTCCCAAGGAACTGTGTGTGTTTAGAGCTGTGTCCAGAAGGCTCCCCGAAGGACTGGCGCGAGGCGACCCCCTGCCTTTCTGTTGCCTCAGCTCTGGGCTCTTTTAGAGGGGAGACGCAAGCTATGTGAAGGACGTTCCTCAGAAACATTGAAAGGCAAGTGAATAAGCTGCCCACGCTTACGGCAAACAACAGACAAATAGGACTGAGCAAAGAGCGTACGATAGAGCACTTTTGCTTTCTTGGCACTCTCAATACATACAGAAATGAGCTGGACAGTTCAACTACTAAGCGAACATTCACAGAGCTCTGACACTCATGATTTATTGTCTCAATGCCTTTTACAAGTTGAAAAGCTGAAAGTCTCAATGTCAAGATGTCTGATATTCACACTCTATCACCCCAAATCCCTGTCAGTATATGATCTTCCTCATGCATCTTTTCTCTCTCAGAAACCTGAGTTTCTTTGTACTCCAGGTCTGACCCCTCTTCCCCATTGACTCGTCCTGCTCTGTGCCGGGCGCCGTGCCAGGAGCCGGGGAGCGGCCGCCAACAGGACGGACGCCAACATTCCCCGCCCTTATGGAGCTTCCATGCTCATGGGGACGCCAGGCAGTAAGTGTACAATGATCCAACAAAATGATTACAGTTGGAATTCGCGTTAGGGAAGAAGCAAGCAGGGATGGGACAGAGAGCAGGAGGGGGAGCCCCAGCGGACCACGTGGTCGGGAAGGCCCTCCGGACGAGGTGTCCTTTGGGCAGAGCCTGGAGGAGGAGAGAGAGCCGGCCTGTGCACATGCAGAGGAAGAGCTCCAGGCTGCGGCCAGGGCACGTGCAGAGCCCCGGGGAGGGCACTGGCCAGGGAGCACAGAGCAAAGGACAGAGGCAGAGAGAGCGAGGAGGAGACGACAGGCCACGTGTTTGTTAGGAGAGGATGGCGGGGCCAGGTCGTGCACAGCTGGGAGACCAGGGTCGGGGGCTCAGATTGTGTTCTGAGTGCCTAGGAAAGGTGATGATGGGTCTTCAGCATGGATGTGGCGTGATCTCATTTCTGTGTTGGCGTGATCACTCTGGCTACAGGGCAGGAAGTGACTTAGATGTGCAGAAGATGGGAAGTAGGGAAATCAGATAAGAAGCTATTGGAGTAGCTTGGTGACATGATGGTAGCACAGTTCAGAGGAATGGAGAGAAATGTTGGGATGTGGGATTTATATTGGGCATCATCCAGTGGAATGGCGGAGGCCGGTTCAGGCTGCACTGGGTTGGAGCATAGAGAGGAATTGGGGACACAGAGCACACATGAAGACCCATCCCTTATTGAGCCCATTTGCTCCTACTGACTCAGCAACTCCAAATGGCTGCACATCCTTCCGCCTTGCCCTGGCAAAGCAAACAGGCGTATATCTAGCCATTTCTCCAACTTGTGTTAATTATTATGTAAGTAGGGATCTTCCTCCCCTCATACATATTGAGATCCTTGAAACACAGTCTCCACTCCCCATGGGGCCCTTGGTACCTACCACATAGATGGTTTAATAACGGTTTACTTAACGAACAAAAACTGAATACAAAAGGAATGAATACAAAGGAAAAGAAAATTGTTTAGTGTCTTAGTCCTCTAGGGGCCATAAGGAAATCACAACCACTACTCTATACCTGTATGTACAAGAGTGGGTTTTATGAGGTTTGGATAAGATGGGAACCACGAGGCTGAGGGTGGTCCCTTTCCGCCCACGTGGTTAGTTACAGTAGGTGGTGTTTGTGGTTTCCTCAACAGCAGGGACATACTCCGCCTTCTCTTAGATGACAGAGGACTGCTGGGTTCTCCAGGACGTTTCACTTTGTTTTGTGGCCCTGTTACAAACTCATCTGCTTCATCAATCATCATTCCCTAGAAAACATCAATGAACATATTCCATTAAAGAGAACACTGCAAGAACTCTTCACATGCATATACAATCATACGCTACATCAGTAATATAGATCTTAATCATCGGCCAAAGATTTGCCATACCCCACAGAGACTGTTCTCAGAAAACGCTACTCAATTTCAATCTAGTCTAAGTGGAACGAGGAGGAAACTTGTTGTAAGGTCAAACATAACACAATCATGATTAACCAGAAAGCTTGGGGAATGAGCAACGCGATGAGAGTTCCAAAGTGGGAATAAACCCACAGTGACCTTTCTGAAGAAGATACAAACCATTTTGCATCAACCCTTGGTAAGGGAATTCATTCCCTTTTGTGTGCTTTAAACGCATCCTTAAGAAATATTGATAGTCACTGTATAGAATGCTGCATGAAAATGGTGATGGGCAGGTGGTAGATGGAAAATGTCATTCCCCCAACAGCAATCTCACAGAGATTCAAATATGTCCACCTTGGTGCTGGACAGAAATGAGGGAGGGGGCTTTTCACCCTTGGGAATAGATAAAAGATGAGAGCCAGCAGTATAGAAGGTTAACTAAAAGCTGTTCTCATCCAAGGATAACCCAAGAATGCGCACTCCCATTATTTGAATAAAATCATAATAAATGACTTTTCCAAAGCATTTCCCAAAGCAAAACAGTACATAAAGGGGAAAACATAGTCACTGCGCATGTACCACGTGTCAGGTAATGTTCTAAATGGTATACAGGTACTAACTCAATACTCCACAGAGCTCTATTAGTTAGGTGTCATATTTATCTCCAGTGCCACAAAGGAGGAAACCAAGACACAGAAAGATTAAGAAAAACTCCAGTTAATTGAAGATTCAGGTGAAGCAGAATACCTTTCAGTCTACTTTTGCTACAGAAGACATTATTTCACGGTCTGCACGCTTATAACAATGGTCTCCTCCATGAATGCAGATATAATCTCCATTTGTCTTCATGCGTATATGGTCAAGTCAGTATATCTCTCACTTATACACACAGAGATACACACACACGCGCGCATGCACACGCACACACCTCACATGTATATCTCAAAGCCAATAAGGCAACACCACTTAGTACTTCATATTTCAAGAGGAATACTTTATAACTGTCTAGACACAGCACTAGAGAGCTGAATAATGTAAACAGAGGAAATAAACAGTGATCTCAATATTAAAGGAATTAGTGTGTGGAGGTGGGAACAAATACAGACTCTGGAGCTGGAAAGACGGGGGTTCAAATCCTGGCTCTTATCAGTTGTGTCACTCGGGGTGAACCATTTGACCACTATGAGCTGTGATTTCATAGTATAGGGCAGATAGTAGTATTCATCTGCAGTTGTGAGCATTCAATGTTATCATTTAAAATATCAACGCCTACTACGTATGCAATAAATGCCAGCTATCACTTTGTTTAACTAACACACT